TGATTTACTTGAAATTTTCATGTTGTGGTCCGCACGTGTTACGACGGCACGTGACGCGGCCGCAGCACGCCCCGAGTTGCGTGGAGTGCGAGGGCCCGCCCAACGCTGCTTGCAGCTTTAATTTAAGATTGTTTTTACATTACTAGTTTTACTTGTAGTTGAGTAATTTTTCAGTAATGTAATACTTCAACTTGAGTACAGATTTTAAATACTTTCCACCACTATTCCTGTTTCTCTAACTAGTAAAGCATTGTAGACGGGCGAGCAAGCTGTCTGTATGGAGTTTTAAAATAGAAGAGTGTGGGGCTTTGTGTTTTTGTAGGTTTTTGAAAACAATGGAGTTTCCCGATAAACGATAATACGTTCTTGTTACACAGACAATACTTGGACAAAGAACAAAGTCAGTGGTGGTTTTACTTTTTTTTATTTTTATTTTTATTTTTTTTTTATTGTGTGGTTTTGTATTGGATTGTATCATCTTACATGGTGTTGCTTTTATTCCGTCCCCCCAAAGGGACAGTATTACAATAACTTTGATACCACAAAAAGAGCCCACTACTTCTACTTTGATTGTGTTTTCTTCCTTCAGTATGTTCCCCATGAAACTTAAATAGCTGTGTTTGTGGCTTCCTCACAGAAGGACGCATACATACACACAAAATGGCAATCAATGTCCTCCCTCTGTGACTCCAAAATGTATCCTCTGTGAGCAACACAGAAGTTATACTAGTAATATGCATCTCGAAACACACAAAGCTTATTGGTTTGAACATTTGGTGGGACACTTGGGGTCCAACAGAGCTTGATGAAGAGACTGCAAACCATGGTGGCAACAGTGGCACTTTATATCCAAGCCTGAACTATATAAACTTTTTATCAACCTTTTTAAAATGGCATTAAGTACATAGTACTTCCATCCCGTTATGGTCGAAATAGGTCATGACAAACTAAAAATGAAATCTAACTGAAAAGATGAGACATGAGTTGTTGTATATATTTTTGTGTACCACTTCTTTTAACTGTTCAGTGTGTAACATTTAGGAGGCTCTATTGGCAGAAATGGAATCTAGTATGCAATGTTTTCACTTTTCAAGTGTATAATCACCTGAAAATCAGAATTGTTATGTTTTTGATATCTTAGAATGAGCCTTTTATATGTACAGATGTCTTGGGTCCCCTTCCATGAAACTAAATCAGGCATGCAAAGCATTCCGCATTCAGTTTCACAACAGCAGGTGAACCACATGTGGAGAAGGCTTGTTGTTATTAATGTAGCTAATCAAAACCATTGTGGTACCAAATGCTTTACGGGGTCCATGCTTTTAAAATATCCAGCGTGTCCCGATTAGGCCGGCACAATATGAGGAAAATCTGCAATGTGTGATAACACTGTTCAATACTGCAAAGACAATATGATTTGTGATAAATAAACAAATATTAAAGAATGCATATTAGCTGTACACTGTCTTTGTTCGACCTGGTTGTCTAGATAAGAACTGAATATTTTAAATAAAACCAAATGTATCTAGAACCACTATAAAAATTCAATGATGTCTCACTATAAACAAATCTCAAGTATTCAGTATCAGTCATTCATCCTGTTCTCTGTCCTCCTCTGATGTGACTCTCAGGTAACACTGGTAGAGAGGAGAAAGCGGACGTATATCACTTCTCTACATTTTTACATGTTTATGCTTGTTGAACAGTGTATTGATAAACTGGCTTTTTACGAGCGACGTTGCATTTTTTGTGTTTTATTGCATAATTGGACGTCGATTCCCATGTTATTGGTCAAATCTTCGAAGTACTCGTGGTCAGCCTTAAAAACAACAATGGCAGCTTTTAAAGAAGTTGCCGTAGATGTTGCTATATCAATTGTTTCAGAACTGGCGAGTATTTCTTCAAAATATACGGCACAATTATGGCACTGAAAACTTTTCTCAATGGAAAAGACGTTTCTGCTCTTCTCCTGACTGGCACTGTTAATCTGATTTGGTTGAAGTTCCGCCATGATAGAATGTGATACACAAATGGTTCAGTCAATCACCTGCTAGATATTTTGCAGTTTCCTACGACTTCCTAGATGGTTCTGTGTAACAAACCATGTGGCGTGTCAGGATATGTCCTTCATGCACGTCAGAAGATGTTTGCATAAAGAGCTCACCTTCCTTACATTGTGCCGATTGGAGGCTTTTGAGTCTGAGTCTTAGTGGGTGGTGCTGCCATCCTTTCGCTTGTCCAGTCTGTGGAGATCTGTGGAGCCAAGTGAGAAACTGTTGCCCTAATCATAAGAGCCTAAGCAATATATTGGCTTACCACCATTGCCACAAGACACATCAAACATGGTTACAGTCAACAACAATTTGATCATCACTCTAAATCAGTGCTCTGCTTGTACTAGACTGCTAGTAAACAGTACAAATGGCAATAATGCTAATGCTTTTCACTACATCAACACAGGTAACTCTGTTTTAGCATATTAACACTAGAGTAATTATTTTATTGTTCAACTGTAGAATACTCTGACGTGCATTACAGGCTTGTTTTTAACCAAGTTCTTTCTTTTCTAAAGTCTCATATTTTCAGGCGGAGTAAACGACGAACAACACGAGAGGTACCTTGTTTTTCTTTTACTAAACAGCATCATGTCTTCATCGTTCCAAACTCACCAGCAGAAAAACAAACATTCCTCATCACAGTGCTCATCATCATTTATCACAATAGTATAGTTTTCACTTCTGGGCCAAATAATGCAGTGCTGCTTACTCGTCATGTACATGTTACACCAAGAATGTTATACAGCAAGTTCCAGTATGGCGGCAGCATAAGTGTGAACATTAACAGAGGGTGCTTTTGACCAGAAAGCCGCTGGCCTGATTCCCTAATGTTCCTCACAAATCTAGGAGAGAGTAATGGGGAAAATGAAAAACACTGTTTAAGGACCCAGGGACCCTGGGTCCTTAAACAGTGTTTTTCACCCCCAGTTTCTTCATTGGGTCCTGGCTAACAGTAGATGCAGCAATGAATAACAGTGAGGATGTGATTCAGAAAACTGCATGTGTGCATCCAGCCGTCCCTTCATCAGTAAACATATTTAAACAGATGTAACTTTCTTCTACGGTCTCTTTAGCTTTACAGGAAGGAGAGTGAGGCTACATTTACTTGCACAAAATCTGATTATAGCCAATAACCGGAGTAAGGCGTCAACCCAACGAGGATGTTTACATGAGTTGCTTGTTGGTGCGTTCCATTCATTAACCCGTTTCCATGCTACAGAGCAAAGTGTAACTAATGCCTTAAGACAGCCCTTTTCACATTATATGCCAATGTCACAGATTCCCTCCCATATTCACCCTCAAAAACACATTTCTTCCATGATGTTAATGTGGTATTCCCTTGTGGTACAGTTTAGGGCCACAGCATGAGTGGGATCATATGGGATTCAACACAGATCTTGGGGCATGTGAGATATATTAAATCTGACTTGCATGGTCAGCAGAGAATGACATTTAATGTATGAAAGTGACTGAGAGGAGGCTGTGTTATCGTTGGGCTCAACCATGCATGTAAAATACAAGAACGTTAAATCTCACCGGTGTCAGTGATGCATCTAGGGTGCATTTTACATTTCTCTACTTTTGAGATTGAATAGTGAGAAAAAGAAGACAACATGGCAAGCAGGATGGTGACATCAAAATAAATATCAACTGCTAGAAAAACGCTTCACATCGTGGTTTTAACACATCAACAACGGTTACTATTTTCTATAAGGGAGGAAGTCATCAGTTGAAAGTTGTAGACCTTTCTGAGCTTTCCTCCGCCACCTAGATTTATGTGTGTTGCAGAATGTGTTAAAAAACGATACTTGGTCATAGTTGGATGATTAAAAAGGTTAAAATGCCCTTCAGTCATGCAACTTCATTAGGAGTACTCCACCTATCTTACTCTGATCATGCTCATTGTAACTAAAAGGTAAATTAACATTTAATCATAGTGTATTGTTTTAAAGAGGCTCTATCTTGCTTTTAGTTCTGCCTTATCACTTGAAGGTCTGTGAGAGCAGAGTTGTTGTCTTCTGTAGATATCCTCTGTAAAAAGCTTCTCTTTCTCTATTTGCACCATGTTGACTAGAGAGTATTTTGGATGAAGGACAGCTTTTGTCTGTTTTGTTGCTACCACAGACTCTTGATGTCTTTGGGGGGAGTACAATTTAGCTGTAGTCTGTTACTCCCTCCTACAGGGAGGTCAGACTTGAGGTTGAACTGCAGGGCAGTGCTCCTGGAATTTGTTTGGATACAGTTCCTTGTTCAAGGACACTTGAGCAAATAACTCGGGGTCGAAGTGTAAAATTATTATTGCAGAGTCGTTTGTATGACCACAGGCCCGCACTGCTCCCAGCTGAGCGTGGAGTCACTAGTGGAATTACTTCTCCTTCTTTTACTGCACTTACAAAAATTGTCCTCAAGTACACCTTGATAAATTGTTATAAATATGAGGCTGCACATCCAACCTGACCACTAAGATTTACGGTACTCTATCATAAAGTTAACAGTTTTTCCACTGGTAAATGTAATTCCCACAGCTTTCTGGATGATAATTGTGCCATGCAGAATCCTTGTCCTGAATTTCATTTAAACAATAAAATCATTATCTATTTTGCTTTAAAAAAAAAAACAAGGTTTTTAGAAGCTGATGATTATTATCATCTCCCCTCTATCAGAAGATTTTCTATGAAAGCTCATGCTGAAATTATTAACATTCTCGGCTTCTGTTTTGCAAGATTGTTGATTCCTGTCTTAAAATGGTGAAGTGTTAGTCTGTCCCACGCCAGTGATAGGTGTTAAGACTGTTTGAACTTGATGCACTGGCAGGCCAATACTGGTTCATCACAGATGTATCAGCATTTATCATAGCAAATAGATTAGTATTTTTATCTCTATTTCTTTTTTTTCTTAATATAATATAATGTATATCTTTTACTTATTATTAATTATAGTTAATTCTATTCCTGGTGCAGATTACCTTTCAAACGCTACTGCTTATTACATGAAGTGTTCCTTTTCCTGAATCCTACTTTTCTAAATGCAAAGTACATGCTTCCTATAATCTTTCCCATTATTTTCTTCAGAGTAATTATATTGTCAAAATCAATGGAATAATTTAAATGTAATGGCTACCTCTTAAATTGAGTGCTCGTATTTTATCCATGTGACACCCAGGCGGGGAGTTGCATGGTGAAGTGGGTTCTTATCTGATGTCTGTGACATCTGTAGGCAGTGACCCAGCAGTGATACGGCAGCCGATTTCATCAGCCATCCAGACTCCAGCACTATTCAATTTTTCTCAGAGATAATGGAGTGTTGGCAGGCTGGAACATGCAAACTGGCACAACATGGACACACACGAGCAAATAAACTGCTCCACCTTTTACTTTTTGCACACAATCGTTTTCTCTTCTGGCTTCATCCATTTTGATCTCTCATGTTTCTGTCTCTCTTCTTGTCTTTCTGTCCTTTAACCTCTTTTAGTCATTCCTCCAGCTCTCCACCCGCCTCTCTCTGCCTCTCATGATGCCTCGTCTCTCCCAGACAGCCATGTCTGTCTGCTCAGCAGATGAGACCCTAATGATTTATTGACGATGGTGTGGCTTTTCTTCAAAAGGGAGACATTGCCGCTGTCCCAGAAAATCTTTATCTGAAATTTTTAGCTTTTATGTTTTTTGGTGTTAGAGTTTTGTGGCCTTGTCAACAGAAGTGCTGTGCACCAGGGAGTCGATCTGTCATCTAAACTGATGTACTGTGTAACTCTTTCTTCTCTGTTCTCTTCTCTTTTTCACTTCCGTTGTGATTGTGCTTGCCGATTTGCGTATCATAGACTGCATGTTACTCATAAAATTAGTCATTCACAGTAGACCTACTTCTTATTACAGACACCAACTGCAGAGAGCACTAAAACCAGGCAACAGACAAGTTTAATTTGCAGTGTTATCAAGTTACTCACAGTACATTAATTAGTAATGGCTGATATAATCTGCCGCCGGCGACGTTTGTCATTTTACTTGGTGAACGTGTCGTCAGTACCGGCTAGAATAAGAAGTTGTCTTGTACGCTCTTTGCTAATAACAGTTAGCATTATAGCTTAGCAAATCTGTGTATTTTGCCAACCTTGAGATTACCTAAATTATTTTTCCCATTCACACACTGTAACCTTCAGTCACATATTATTAGAATGCTCCCGCTGAAGAGCCAGCTATTGTAAAGGATACACCCGCAGGCTGTGTTGGACAAAACCTTCGAGGTTAAAAAATTGTAAAAGGATTGTCTTTTGATTGGCTTCATTTTAGCCAATGCCGATCCTCAGGATCAGACCAGGACACCTCTAAAAGAGACCATATGTTCAAGGAGATTTATATAAAATCCAGTGTTTGTGCTGGCGCAAATATCAAAACCATATATTTTTTTAGATACGTTGCTCGCAGATTACAAACATGTTTTTGATTTAACAGAAGACAGTTATTCTTTAAAATAAGAAGCCATCTACTGGCAGCACATCTCTGCCTCTCACTATCTTCTCTGCATCTTTTTTTGTCCCCAGTCTTGATTCACATTATCTCATGTCTCATTTACTTTCTCCACGCACTCCCTCTATCATTTCATCTCTTTCTTACACACACACACACACACACACTTCATCTTGTTTACTTTCTCCACGCTCTCCAATTACGGTTATCACTATAACTTATCATTACTCATCTGTATCTTTCCACGTCCTTCTTGCTCTTTCTTCCTCACTCTCTCACACATACATGTGCACGAACACACTCCAGCTCCATTATGTATTTTCTTCACATTTTCTGTCTCTTCCAATCTCTACTTCTTTCTCTCTGTTCACTTCTTCCTTCCCCTCAGATTATTTTTAAAAACGTCCACCGAGTCACTGATGACTACGCGTGTATTGACCTTTTTTCTGCTTTTCAAACTGGAGCATGTTTATGGTGTCCACCACGCCCACCCCTCTGCCTTATCCGGTGAGCCACCCCCTCAGGTCAGCCTCATCCCCAACGATTAGTTGTGAGTCAGAATCACTCATTTGCTAGAGTACCAAAATATGTCCAGGGGATTTATTGTACTGAAAGTGATGCAGGAATATACTGACAAATCACATCTTTGAGCACGTTGGTTCAATTACAGGTCCAGTGTTTAACATTTAGGAGGATCCATTGACAGAAATGGAATATAATATTCATAGGTATGTTCCATTTGTGTCTGATCACCTTAGAATGAGCCGTTTTATCTTCTACTAAATGTTGAACTAACATGTTTCTACACTATGCCAGAATGGACAAACCAAACACTGGCTCTAGATGGGGCCGCCCTAGGTTCTTAAAATAAGAATTGTCATGTTTTTGGTACCCTAAAATGAGCAGTTTCTCCTACACACTTGGAAAGGCTGAGTGGTATTTAAATAGTTGCAATCTGCAACTTCACCACTAGATTCTACTGCATCCTACACACTGGTCCTTTCTATATGTATATATCTATATCTATGCCCCTTTTTTCTCCCAATTTGAGATTGACAGTTCCTGTGTGGTCTTGGTCACTGCTGACTCCCGCTGTTAGCCTGGGTAAGATGTAGAGAGGATGCGATTGTGAAATTTGTTGGCCAATTGCTAATATAGCAATATGGACATGATCCCCCACTGGCTTCTCAACCTTGTAACCATGACAATATTGTGTTTGTTTGAATACATAAAGAATAATTATCCAAGATCCCAAATATTCAACCACAGTTATTTGAATTTTGAGTCTAAAAATAGTTAGTTGCTTGTGATAGTAAGGAAGTTGGAGTTTAATGTTTTCTTGGAAAGGTTCCCAGTACATCTTTGTATTCTCAGTTAGGGCTATATCCATCTAGGAAATTTGAAGGTTGGATTACTCAGTACTGAATGTTCATGCCATGGTTCATGGTCCAAATTTACAATTTTTATGCAATCATTTTCTGTTTACTCATACACCATAATAATCATGTCATTCAACTCAGTCCCTCTCAAACAGCAGACCAGGGAGAAAAATGGCAGATGCTTCAACTGATGAAAAAATACCTGTAGGCGAGCTAGTTATCCATGGCATACCTAGTGGTATAAAAAGAAAACTTTTTAAACCATTAAAAAACTTTACTTTCTTTGTGAAAGGAAAATGCTTCCTTCCAAAGTTGTATTAACCAGGAACTAAAGAAGAAATCACAGACACTAGTCCTAATGAAAGATTTTCTACACATTGTTGAAAATATTGTTGTCACTGACATTAGACTCTTGTGCAATAGTGAAAACTTAAGAATAATTGGGTGTTTCTGAGACGCCTAAACAATATCTTTTGACTGGTAGCAGTTGAGCTTGTCAACTCTTTGATCCCCTCTGGCAGATAAATAACCCTAAATTGGGGCTTGTTTTCTCTCCTTGAAAATTATTCCGGTTGGTAAAACGTTAAAAGTGGAATTGACCGCTGACTGAGGCTGGTGCACAAAGTGTGTAAATGTTTTTCTCCTGATGTCTACCTTGTCTTAATGACCAGCCCCATCTTTTCTGAAGCGTCCTGTCATTATGAAACATTTTGTGGTTGTTTTTAGCTCCTTGCCTCATTCTAAACTCTGTTTGTTGGCCTCTTACTAATCCTCTAGTA